GGGGGAGATTCTAGCAAGATGGGAAGGTGGCTAAAAACTGCAAGTGCGGGAGAGAAGAGCCCAAATGGGCACTATAAAATTCAAAACGAGCAGCCAACAAGAGAAGAGTTCGCTCTTTCATAATTGCTTGTAAGCAGATGCGAAAGAGGCTAGAACTGTCTTAAAGAATTGGACTAAGGACGATAAGTCAGAAGAGCTGATCATAATTATTGGTTCATCCACTGGTTCCAAATTCTTCTCTGTAATTGATTATGAAGATGGGAAATGCATGTCGAAGTAAGGAGGCACATTTTGGCAACAGCCTTGGGTGCCACAGTATGTCTCAGCCCCAAATCAATCAATCTAATTCTTCGAAAATTGTTACATTATTTTTATCAAGGTAAGGAAAAGTTTTAAGGCATTCAGGCCATACCTGTAGCAGTTCCTATCCCCATTAACGAAGACCCTGCACTTGCCATAATAGCTCGCACGTCAGCAAAATCTACATTCACTAAACCCGGAATCTGCAAAAAATGATAATTGTCAACATTTATTAACCAAAAAAAGATCTCGTAACAGTTATATTATAGAAACTAATTTATTCTTATACAGAAAAATTTTGACCAGCATGGCCATTTAAGTTCAGATAGATGTAGATGAGCCAGACACTGTGCAGTGCGAAACGTATGATTATTCAGGTAAAATCGAAACTGAACCACCTCATTATACAAACTGAAGATTTGATGTTCTGAGAAGAATAACAATAAACAATACAATGCAACAAGAAGCTAAGCCTATTCCACAAGGCTATATGAATTTTTTCAAACATAAAACATAAGCATTTTAAATTAATTTAATATTTATATTTTATAACTATTATTTTAATGAAATTTAAAAATTATATAAAATATATATTTTTTTCAAATTTCCTAGTAGTAGGGTTAGGATATGGGTTCCATATTTTCAAATTGGTAAAATGGTATTTGAGTCATTTTATTGTAAAACTTCAAAATATGAAAGGTGCTCCTTATAAGGCTAGGCAACCATGTCTCAAATGAAAATTGCTTATAATAAGCAGTCTGTAGACAAACGAGCTAGTGGTCTCATAAACTAAAACCATGTATTAGGTAGATTACACACCAAAAGCCGTCATTTGGATATGTCTCATAAGTTCATCCATTACTCAAACAAAAAGATAAGGACAAGGATAAATCCTTGATATTACTCGTATTTTACTAGATCTCGCACTCTACTACTACCTTCAAGCCCTTGATACCATGACTACTCCATCATAAATAAAATTCAGTTACATTAAATCATGTGCATCTCCTCCACATGTTGCGCAGTGCATCATTAAAGTAACGAATCACTCTATCAGCCCCATTGCTAATATTTGACATACACAGAAAAGTTGCAGAGAAAGAATGTATTTACATGATCAGTCAGCAACCTTTCTAGAGTATTTCATCAAGTAAAGAATAACCATATTAATGAAGCATAAAGATACAAATAGCAGCATACTGCTGATAAATAGGAAATAGTTTCTAGAAATAAAACCAAAACCTTTCTTTGGAAATCAAGAAAAAAAATAATGCAAGCCCCAATCAAGCACAATCAATATATGAAATGGTATATAGATAATTATCCACCCGTAGAGGTTGACTTTCTTAGGCATGTATTTGAGTGCCCATACCGTAATAATGTCAGAAATGCCACGAACTCCTTGTCGAAGAATATCATCAGCAAGATTAAATGCTTCTGTCACCGGGGTAGATGCGGAAACTGCAGTAAGTAATTTATCATTTGGAATGACAATTAGTGTGTCAACATTCTCTCGTAGAGCTGCAATTCCTTCCTGGGCTTGAACGGTCCTCCTTCGTCCCTCGAAAGAAAATGGAGTTGTGACAATGCCAACAGTTAAGATGCCCATTGACTTCGTAATCCCTGCAATTATAGGAGCTCCCCCGGTTCCTGTTCCCCCACCCATGCCAGCCTGATTGGAAGTCCAAGGTAAGAGAACGAAACGACGAGAAGCAAGTCATCCAAATCAATACTGTTTTCTTGCTTAGGTAAATGTCCACAAGATACACATAAGATTAGGTTCAACTTTCTTTGCACCTATCAACCATGATTATTTGGGTTTTCATGCACTTGAGATCAAATTATTTACTTTCAAACAATTCTATACATGACACATCTATATTCATCATTTATCATTTTGAAATAACTGAACACGAATTCAATAAAGATACAGTCAACCTCTCATATTATTGTAGGAACTTGCTCATAGCTTCCTCAGTCAAACTATTTGTCATACGTTGCTGCAGAGTGTTGATTAGCATTTTCCTAAAATAAAATATGGTTTTTCTAAGAATGACAAATGCACTCCAAAAGTTGATATCTAGGTTCAAGTGTTATGAGATCATA